AGCTGTGAAGGCCGTATGGCTTGTCAAGAACCCCCCAACACCTAGCACCATCCATCACGAGGTCACTCGGGAGATTCCAGAAGAGTTGGAGGTAGACAGGCTTCAGCAGCAAGCAGAAAGAAGGCCTCAGGAAGGTAGACAACAGAACAACCACATTCCCTCGGTGTTTCGGGTGTGGAGGACGCCACAAGCGCTCTGACTGCCGGTTCCGCTCTGCTATCTGCCGGGCATGTGGAAGGCAAGGCCACATTGCCTCCGTCTGTTTGGGTCGTCAAAAGGAACGGTCTCCAGAAGAATTGCCTCTGAAAGGTACCAAGGTCCCCAGCCAAAACAGGGTGGGCTTCTGCGCGTCCCGTAGGGCCGTTTTCAAAACTGGGGTTCACAGGCCACTTAAAAAGAAGCTTCACATTGACGTGAAGTTGCAAGGGTTCCCTTGTCGATGGAGTTGAACACAGGGTCCGCTCTATCGATCATTTCCTTAGACACTTTTAAAAAGATTTGCAGCAGAAGTGGCCTACGAGTTAAACTCAGGCCTTCAAATTTAATCCTTACTGACTTCCAGAATTCCAGAGTCAGCGTGAAGGAGGAGGCCACACTCACAGTGCAGCATAGGAGTTTTGAAGGGCTGCTAGATGTGGTAGTTGGGGGTGATCGTACGAATCTTATTGGATTCGATTGGTTCAAGGCCCTTGGAATTCAAGTGACTGGACTTCACAATCTGCAAACGTCAGGCCTTGCAGAAGTTTGCAAGGAGTTTGCTGATGTGTTCAGTTCAGAGCTTGGCTCATACAAGGGGCCTCCCATTGCTTTACGTTTAGACCCAGCCAACACACCCATCAGGATCAAGCCCCGAAGGGTGCCTTTTGCCCTAAATAACAAAATAGATGCACAGCTGGACAAGCTGCTCCAGCAGGGCATCTTAGAACTTGTGGACTCTAGTCCATGGGAAACCCCTATAGTCACGCCACTGAAGGCCAATGGAGAAGTCCGAATTTGTGCGGACTATAAATGTACACTAAATAAGGCATTGCAGCAGCATGCCTACCCGGTGTCTGTGGTGAGCCACATTCTGGCCTCACTCGGGGGGGGGGGGGCAATTCTTTGGAAAGCTTGATTTGGCTCAGGCCTATCAACAGCTACCTGTTGATGAGGCAACGGCTGAGGCCCAAACAATTGTGACACACCGGTAAAAAGGCTGTAGTTTGGGGTTAATGTGGCCCCTGGAATATTCCAGAGTGTGATGGAGCGAACACTCCGTGGTATTCCTGGAGTCTGTCCCTACTTTGATGACGTCCTCATTGCTGGGGAGTCATCTGTGAACTTAGCTGAAAGGCTGAGGGCTGTCTTGCTGTGTTGCCACCAAGCAGGGCTGAAGCTGAAGCAAGACAAATGTAAGATTGGAGTTACCTCCACTGAATTTCTGGGGTTCCGTATTGATGCTGAAGGCATCCATCCTGCTGAATCCAAGTTCAAAGCAATTCAGCAGGCCCCATGTCCCAAGTCCAAAAGTGAACTTCATGCTTTTCTGGGACTGTTAAACTTTTACCATGCATTTCTACCTCACAAGGCCGCAGTGGCTGAGCCATTACACTGGCTCTTGGATAAACAGGCACCTTGGCAGTGGACACAAGTCCATGAAAAGAGCTTTTCAGAGGCCAAGGCCTTGCTTTCCTCAAATGCTGTGTTAACTCATTTCATTGAGCAATTGCCTGTATGCATAGCCTATGATGCATCCCCTTGTGGGGTTGGGGCTGTGCCAAGCTACCTCAAGGCTGATGGGACGCAAGTCCCTGTGGCCTATTACTCCAGAACTCTCTCATCTGCACAGCGTAATTACGCGCAGATTGACAGAGAAGCCTTGACAATAGTGGCTGGCATAAAGAAATTCCATGATTTCTTATATGGCCGCCATTTCACGGTCTACACAGACCATAAGCCTCTGCTGGGTTTGTTTACAACAAACAAAGAAACCCCTCATATAATATCCCCTAGAATGCTGAGATGGTCAATTTTCCTGTCAGCATATGACTATACTCTGGTCCACAAACCAGGTAAAGAAATGGGCCATGCAATGGCCTCAGCAGATTACCTCTACCGCAGGTAGAGGCAGATCCTGCTCCTGTTCTTTGCATTCTCTCTATTCAGGAATTGCCTGAATCTCCCCTCAATGCTAGGGACGTGGCTGCAGAAACTGCCACTGATCACAGGCTTACACGTGTGCTGATATGGTTGTTGTCAGGGTGGCCTGACATGTGTCCAGGCTCAGAATTCCAGAGTTTCTGGCAGAGGAAACACGAGCTTTCCACTTTCAAGGGGTGTGTCCTGTGGGAACAGGGTAGTCATCCCAGCCTCATTGAGGACTAGAGTCTTTCAATCTTTACATGAAGGTCATCCTGGAATTGTCCGGATGAAGGTGCTTGCGTGTAGCCATCTCTGGTGGCCTGGGCTCAATAAAGAAATTGAGACCCAGGTTCATAGGTACCAAGTGTGCCAACAGTCAAGGCCTGAAATGCCCCAGCCCCTGTACATAGGTGGGAGGAGACACATACTCCATGGTCGAGGGTACACATCGATTACGCTGGGCCCTTTCAGGGGCAATTCTTCCTTCTCCTCATGGACAGCCATTCCAAGTGGCTAGAGGTTGTTCCTGTCTCCTCCACTACTACTGCTAGGACCATTCAGGTGCTGAGAGGAATCTTCGCCTCACATGGTCTTCCAGACGTCTCCGGCAACGGGCCCCAATTCACGTCTTCTGAGTTTCAGGTTTTTCTTCATGCCAACTTGATCTGGCATGCCACATCTCACCGTTCCATCCAGCTTCCAACGGCCAGGCTGAGCAAATGGTGCATACTACCAAAGATGCTTTAAAGAGAATCACTCATGGCAACTGGCATCACAGGTTAGCTGACTTCCTTCTTTGTCACCGCACCACACCTTGTACTGCCACTGGGAAGAGCCCAGCTGAACTTTGCTGGGGTCGCAGACTCATTACCAAACTTTACAGGTTGCACCCAGATTGGGTGGCTTAACAGGTTTCATAGCCGCGGGCACCTAGACTACAAATGGGCGATCCAGTCTGGGCAAGGAACTATGGACCTGGACATCTCTGGGTGACCGCAGTGGTATGCAAGTTCTCTGGGCCACTGTCATACGAAGTGGCCTTGGACGATGGTCATGTGTTAAGGCGGCACATCGATCATCCACGCTGGAGGCTTCCCAGCAACACTTCCGCTCCTGGCTCTGCTCTCGGGGGAGAAAGACCACAATTACGATCATGGACCACAGTCTCTCCACAAAAGTGGGGATACACTGGCTCCAGAAGGGGGTTCTGCCTACAAGGCAGCTCCTGACTCGGGCACTGGGTCTATGGATTTGGCCAGCCAACCGGCACTACAGGCTTCTCCATCTGCTGGTCTTGGGCTCACAGGATAGTGCTCCTAAGAGGGGTCCATTGTGGACTCGGGAAATTCCACTCCACCAAGGAACTCTGGTCTGGGGTTACAGGCTCCGGCCAGTCACTAGGATGGAGGGTCGCCAGATTCAAGGGGGTATCTTTCCTGGTCTGCCAAGCCTGGCAGGTGAGCTCACAGGCCAGGCACCCACAACAGCTCTAAGAAGATCAGAGCGAGCAAGGGGTCCTCCCAAGTATTTACAAGACTATGCAAGGTTCTTTTCAATTCCAGGACAGGCCTAATAGTCTTGTGAAAAAATAGAATGTATGTAAGGGAGGCTTAATAGTTCTCTTGAACGCAGGGCACACTCAGAGTTGGAGTGTTTTGTTTGATAGTATTAAACAATATGTGGTATTCATGTAAATATGAGAAATATAATGACTGGGTCTGCCTGCGTGAAGGCATAACTGTGTTTAGAAATAACAACATGCTTAATTGAACACATGTATATGTATGTTGCTATAAAACAGTAAGTATTCACATTGTTTTATCCAAGGGGGGAGGGGTGTTATGTCCTGGGCCTGCTGAATGACTCAGCAAGCTTAGGAGGCTGCAGAAGGCCTGGGCAGACCATGTGGTTGCCCGGGACCAGACATGCTGTCTCCAGCCTTGTGAGCATGTGCAAGGTGGGAGACTAGCCTTGCTGATGCTGTCCCTGCAAGGGAGGTATAAAAGAGCCAGCGCCATTTTGTTTACTGTTCTCTTCTGTTCTGTTTGTGATCTCAATAAAGAAGTTGTGTTTGTTACTCCTTTCTCGCTTCGATGTCTCTGATTCTAAAACAGAACAGTGCCAATAACAAGGCTTTTTGCTATTACATGCAAAACATTGAAGTTTTCTAAATTAATTTCTTAGTTCACCTATTATGTCAGAATGGGATCCCATTTCAATCTTGACTTTGGTTATTTTCCTTAAGGTGCCACTTGAGAATGTTTCATACAGAAAAGTGGGGAATAATTTGATGCAAATAATAGAAACTACAGAATCAACAGAAAGCCAAATCAAGTGAATGGGTTGAAAAAGATCCCACACTTATGCCATCTTTTTGTCACTTCCTCCCACTTGTTTGTAACTTGCCTATTTGTTTTTCCTTATTTTAGGTATTTTGATTGATTGATTGATTACATGCCATCAATTCATTGTCATTTTTTAAGCAACCACATATATAGATATTCTCCCTGATTCAAGTGACAAAATTTGGTTGATTTTTCTCTAAACTTCAGAATAAAAGCCATGCCAGGCCTGATTGATAGTTGAATGGGAGATTGAAAGAGTATCAAGCAAATCTGTGAATCTGAAAACATTTTTGAAAAAGACAATAGAAAGCCTCTTATTATTTTAATATATTATTATTATACTAAACTACAATATACATTATACTATACATCATATTATTACCAAGAAACGTTCATGAATATTTTAGTGTTTTATTTTACTTTAGATATCAAAAAGTGCAGTTATTTTTACAGATTCCACTGTAAATAGTCCAAATATTCAAAAAATACTTTATATTTTGCTTTGTTTGTTTCATTGTTATATATTATACTTACTTTTTCTCAGGATCTTCTTTTAATGACATACGATAGCTGCATTTTAGAAGTTGTTCTTTATGACATATGGTGCCTTGATTGATTGATTGATTGATTGATTGATTGTGCATATGCCTAGTACAATTTTGGGAAGATTTCCCTACACTATTTTGCATTAAGGTATTCATAGGAAGGGTATTTCCCAAAATAGAGCATTAAGTGAACATACTTTTATACAGAATTATTGGCAGGATTTCACATGGCCTGATATTACTAAATGGAAAGTTCTAAAAATGAGCAGGAGTTGTCAACATTTACCTAGCACAGTTACACATCTATCCTTTTTCTTACATTCATATGTTCGAGAGACATCTATTGCCCTGCTTGAACAAAAGCAGTGACCTGAGGAAATGTATTAATTACCACACCTTTATTCAGAATTAATTAATCTAGACTAATTAACACCTGCTGGACTAATACCAGAATTGTTAATAAAGCATGATAGAAAATTCATCCAAGTATATTTTTTTTAAAAAAAATTTAATTACAAAATGAAAATGAAATAAAAATACAAAATAAGGAATTTTCTGTGTTATTAGTTTTTCACTTCAAAAGCATGAATTCGTTCACTTTATATCTCACATAAAATAACACATGAGGTGTTTTTATTTTTACAGATAAAATATTTGAAAACGTTCAATGCTCTAGTTCAGCATTCTGAATCCTGGTTCTCTCTACATACATTGAACTGTATCTTCCATCTTTCTCTATTCACTTGGTAGCCTTGTTGATTGGAAATGTGGGAGCTGAGCTAAGTGCAACTGTTCAGAAAGATAGTAAGATTGTCCCATTTTCTATGTTTGTGTGAAAAAATTATCACAGATTAACCACAGAACATAGACATCACCCAATTTAAGCTCAAAACACTTTTGTGAGGAAGAGTGTTCTCGCAATTAGATAATTTTATTATTCCAGGATAAATTATTTCCAGGATAAATTATAATCTACTTTGCTAAAGCTTTAACCAAAAATGTCAAGAGCTGAAAAAATATTTTTGCATATAAGAATATCTTTACTATCACTGCGCTAGATTTTCTTCCTACTCACATATGCTGACTAGCCAAATTGTATATAGATATGCATAAAATATAATTTATCTTCTATAAATTAATCTAACTTTTTTAACCTAGAAAGTATCATCTCATTTTGATGGTAATTTTGTTTCTTTCTCCCTTTGTGGGAGAAATATGTTCCTATGTTTTGATATAGAGAAGATAGAGGTACTTTCTTCCACTGTTTTTTTTAAATCAAACAATGTTTTGCAAAAGCTATACGTGTATTCACAGTTGGGTTTTCAGATGATACCTTTGAGCACCCATATCCCCACAGCCATTTTTACAGATGTTGAGTAGGTACTCTGCCTTCACTGATTTTTGTAAACAATACTTTTAGTTTTTTTAATGGACAATAAATATATTTGAAAAATAAGGTTTGCTTTAAACATAATAATATTTCCAATATCTCTCTTAGACTTAGAGGCATTTCAAAAAGTATTGTGATGTGGTTGCACTCTATTGCTTGGTTTAATTTTCTGCCCACCTGAAAAAAAGAAAAAAAAAAGATAAAGGTAAGTTAAGAAAGTAAAAAAATTGCCCTGGGAGATGAGAGGAGATTGTACACAACAATTCAGCAGTACTGTTTCAATGATAGGATATTTTAAAATTAGTTAAATCCACCACAGTAATTATTCTATGAAACACATTATCTGGCAAAGTTACCATGCTCTATTATTTTATATTAGCATATGCCAAGATGTCACCTGATCTTTCTTGGCAAATAGACACAGATAGAACTTCAAGAGCATATTGCTGTCACTTTCACAAAATGGTTGCCATGAGAGACTCAGTCATAAAAGCATCCATTTTACTAGAAGGCAAACATATGATCACCACAACCATACCACATCATACCATTCTTTTCTTTTTTTCTTTCTTTTAATGGATAATGTCATACAAAAGCCTGAACTGAAATTAACCTTCATTTTTCTAACAATGTTTATAGAGTCCATAAGCATTGTGGAAATTAAAAATCATGCTAAAAACAGCCTTGAAAAAAGCTGAGTTGAAGCACAGAACATGCATGATGTTAAAAAAACATTCATTGGCTTATCACATTGATGACTCGAGATGAATACCAAAAATAAAAACACAAAGTTTATTTTAAAAAATTCATACTTTGTAGAATTCAAACTGGCAAACTCTTCCTGAGGTACATTCAAAGCAATTTGTTTCCAGATTAATTATATATTCTAATATTTTATTTTGTTGTATAACTGACAATTATTAGTTGTCATTCACCTATATTAGCCTCATCTTATATTTTATACACCCCTATTAACTTTATTAATTCATTAATTTCAATGAGGTTGTGCATGAGAAGTCTCCCATGGAGTTATATTCCTTATTATCCATATGCAGTGCAGTTCTATATACAGCAAAACCACTGAGTTTAATGAGGCTTATTCTGAGGTAAATGAATACAGGATTATAGCCTTATTTATTATCTTGACACACCTTAGCATACAATACAATCTTCACCCAAAATTGCCCTTGCAGTTTCTTTAATTTAAAAAGTTTTTTTAAAGGATAAAATACATACAATTTACTATTCCAAAGCAATATGCAAGGGCTTGATTTCACTAATACTTGTCATCAAAGTGGATGTCAAGTGAAAACCAGGAAGAGGCAGAAGAGATAGAGAAGGAAGTAAAAGAAATGGATGTTAAAATAAAATAAAATCTTACAGGGCATGTTGGACATGTTGCTTTCTGCCAAGATGAAAAGTTGGAGGATGTGTGAGGTCTTTATAACTTCTCTAGCACTTCAGACTATTATAAACTCCAGACTTGGCAATAACATCATGATCAACTTGCAAGCACAAGCAAACATCAACGTAGTACCCAATCTGTATGCAGCATTGGCTTTGCTTTGATAGTCAAGTAACATTCTGTATCATATCTGAAGACAGCAGACTAGTCGGAGGACCAAGGGCAGCTCTGTTAATTACATAACTGTGTTTAATTCAGAAGAATCCAGAATGCGCAGCAGGAACTTCCACTGAACCAGCTTTCTTGTGTTATTTTGATTGCTCTTAATTAAAAAATATATATCATACAATGACTTATAAGTAAACATACATGGACTTCTAATATATTTGAAATGGAGATCTAAAATGTGAAGGATAAATATGGGTTTGAGATGATAATGGACTTTGGAATTCTAGTGGGTGGTCACTTGACTATGAGCCAGCAGTGTGCAGCAGCAACCAAAAAAGCTAATACAATCGTGGGTTGTATAAACAGAGGCATAGAATCAAGATCACACAAAGTATTAGTACCCGCTTTATAAAACCCTAGTAAGACCACACCTGGAATACTGCAGCCAATTTTGGTCATCATATCACAAAAAAGATGTTGAGAATTTGGAAAAAATTCAGAGAAGAGCAACTAAGATGATCAAATGCCTGGAGACTAAAACATACAAAGAACGGCTGCGGGACTTGGGTTTGGCTAGTCTAAAGAAAAGAAGAAATAGGGAAGACATGATAGCAGTATTCTGGTATTTGAGAGGCTGCAACAAAGAAGCGAGGATCACATTGTTCACCAGAGCACCAGATGGAAGATGAGAAACAATGGTTGGAAACTGACCAAAGAGAGAAGCAACCTAGAATTAAGGAGAAACTTCCTGACAGTGAGGACAATTAACCAGTGGAACAACTTGCCTCCAGAAATTGTGGGCACTCCATCACTGGAGATTTTTAAGAAGAGGCTAGACAGTCACTTGTCTTACATGGTATAGGTTCTCCTGCTTGAGCAGGGGGCTGGACTAGAAGACCTCCATGGTCCTTCCAGCTCTATTCTATTCTAAAATAATAATGTTCAGGTTTGTTTTTTCAAGTAGCTGTGAATGCATGCCGATGTCACTCTGTCTGTTTATGAAACTTGTCTGATCAATTTTTGCAGACTTTGCATCTGTAACAATCCCTTTGCCCTAAAAGCAGGAAGGAAAATGTGCAAAGAATCAGAAGCTTCTAACTTTCTAGAGACCACTAGAATCTTTCTGGTGACGTGGTGGCGTAATCTGAAGAAGCCGAGCCAAATTTTACATAACTTCAGAGAAATGGGATGGGAAGTATGGGAATATGAATGGAAATCCTCTAGGAGGAATAGTATGTTGGTTCCCAGTTTTATTTCTAAACCATCTCCAAATTGGGTGATATAATGTCAAACTTTTTCAAGGTTTCTGGAGGGAAGTTTAAGGAAGAAGATTGAAGAAATACGCCATTCAGGACCCTTTTGTTTTAATCCATACTTTAAAAAAAAAACAAGACAAAACATACAAAAATTAATGTGCCTTGTGTGTACCAATAAGTTCTGCTTATTGGTACCATCTCTGACATAAGATTGTTGTAACTAGATAATGCAATATTAAAGTCGTTTGAACTCAAGAAAACTTTATTCAAATACTTTTCTCTCTCTTCATATTCTTCCTTTTAAGTCCCACTGTGGTTGTGTAGCATTGCTACATTCATACTAACAAACAAGGCAATGGGTTTTCTCCTCTCCATTCTTTATATTGTACTGTGAGATAGAAATTTAGCCATTAAAAAAAAAGATGAGAAAGTATTCCAATTTACCACCCTCAGTCATTCATTAATATCCAGTACCTCTGAAATATCCCATTCCTTGCAAATGCACCATCTACACTTCAGTACTTCCCCCTGCTTACTGAAAAAAAAAGAGGAAAGAAGGAAAGAAAGGGAGGAAAATACTTTAGCACTGCAAAGCCATTTGTCAAACATTCCCATGAGCTCTGCTTGGCTGTGTCTGAAAGGACACTGTGCCACTGCAGGGGAAGGTGAACATGACTAAAAGCACTATGTAAATTGGTGCTTAATCTGTGGAGAAACACCCAGGCTCCAGAGAGCTACTCATCACTCCTCTTAACTGTGATTAACGGATGAATTAAACAGCACCTTTAACACTTTCTTCACTTGCAAGAAGATGCACCACACAGAACTATGCATCCTTTACAAAAGCCCTTTTCTAACAACTCTTGGACACCAGAATTATTTAGAGAAGGCTTAATATTCTGCCTGAAGCAAGAGTTGCACCATTTTTCCAGTCTGCAAGGAGGATTCAGCTTTTATCAAGTCTGTCAAGGGTTTATACACTGCACAAGATTAGTTTCAAATAGACAGATTATGCTTCAGTGTGCTGTGGGACATGTTATGTGACCTAGATCGTCATGTTAAGTCCTATTATACAGTTAGTTCATTTCAGAACAGCATGTTACATTAACTAGTGGCTTAAGGTTTAGCATGTTATCTAGATCCAACTACTGAAAAAGGAGGAGATGATGGATTTTATATATGCATGAATGGACATTATAGGCTTACTCTTCAAGTAAGGATGTGCCACATTACGGATGTATGTTGGGGTGCTATCTTTAATGTCAGCTCTGATGTAACATGGCTAAACATCTAACTTTGCCCCTGCAAGATTTTTCTACTTGTGCAATTTACAAAGTCTAATTTCCTTCATATTTAATCACACAGGGGTATCCAAAAATGTAAAACTTTTCCTACTGCAGAAGTGACTTCTACAAATGTGAGAAATTAGGAACATATGTACAAATTCAGGAATGGAATTAAAAGCCCAACTTTTCTATATTCACGATGCCTTTAAGGATAAGATGTGCCTGACTGAGAAGAGGAGTCAGTACTAACATTCCACAACCTTCTTCTCTGGTACCTGCAGCCTCCCTGCCAGACTTTAGTTATTTTTAGATTATTTCAATTTAAAAAACAATGGGAAGCTGGTATGTGCAAAGCAAAGCACCAAGCTGAAGCATCATCTTTATTTACAACAATGCTTCTGCAATTCACATAGGCCTCATAGGCATTTTTGAAAAATAAAAATGGTGGGTGGCTGCAATGCTTTGTTTGGGAATATGTCCACCAGAGCAAAAAACAAAAAGGCCAAAGTAAGCATGGGTGGAAGAAAACTTTCAGAGAAGCTAAAAAGGGTAGCAAGAAGCAACCTTCCTAATTTGCTTCCGGGTCAATGTGTGTTTTGTGACTGGTCATTTTGTGAGAATGCCCATGAAATCTTCTCAACATTCCAAAATATACCCACCGGTCCAGCGTTCAGCGTTCAGTGACAACACTCAAGTATGTAGTGACAACTGAATAATTAAAAATTGTGCTATGAATAGGCATAAACCTCCTCAGAATAGAATCTGAAGAATTGTTTCAGCTCAAGCAGTTTGCTTGTGGGGCTAAATTGAGGAAAACTTTGCCTTTTTAACTTCAGTAAAGAAATTTTTATTGGGCTCAGAAATAAGCTTCTGTTCCCTCTCTGATTAGCCACTCTGGCTTTCCATCCATGAATGATGGAGGGAAAGGAATGATGGAAAGTACATATGTATACAAAATATGCATACAGTTAGTCCTCAAGTTACAGTCAAAACTGAGTCCAAAATTTCAATTCCTAAGCAAGATAATTATTAAGTGAGCTTTGACCCATTTTATGACCTTTCTTCCCACATTATTAAGAGAATCACTGCAATTGTTAAGTTAGGAATATGATTTTAAGAGAATCTGGTTTCCCCAGTGTCACTAAACAAATATTTGTAAATCAAGGACTAGCTGTATCTAATTAATAAGTACAGGTAGTCCTCAACTTATAACTATTCATTTAGTGATTAAAGTTACAACAGCACTGAAAAAAGTGACATGATTGTTTTTCATACTTATGATGTGGTAGCATTCTCATGGTCATGTGATCAAAATTCAGATGCTTGGCAACTGGCATGCGTTTATGATGGTTGCAATGTCCCAAGGTTATATGATCACTTTTGCGACCTTTTGACAAGCAAAGTCAATGGGGAAGCCAGATTCACTTAATAACCATGTTATTAACTTAACATTAAATTAACTTAACAACTGCAGTGATTTACTTAAAAACTGTAGAAAGGAAAGTTGTAAAATGGGACAAAACTCACTTAACAACGGTCTTGCTTTGCAATGGAAATTTTGAGCTCAATTGTGGTTGTAAGTCAAGGACTACCTGTACAAATACTAATACAAAAATCAGTTATAATTTAATTAGAAATTCAATTTTTTCCTCATCAGTGACTAACTGGGCATTTAGCTGTTGAATTTGTTGTCCAAGTAAACACTCATGGCCAACTCAAAGACCTCTGCTCTGTTTTTTTATGGTTTATTTTTGAACTTAGACTTCAACTTTCAAAGAATGTCTTTAACTAGATGATTGTCTGTAGGAAAAATACATGGTGTGCTTATGTGAAATCTCCATTAGCAGCATGAAGACAAAAGTTCAGTTTTTAGGCATATTAAACACTATGAAATGTGCCATAACTTATGTTTGCTATGTGGCTGCTAATTTCTCTTTGTTTTTCAAATTTCATTTAGTTTACATTTTCATCTATTCTTTCCTTTAATGTTTTCTCTCTCTCCCTCTCTCTCTCTCATATCTATCTATCTATCTATCATCTATCATCCATCTATTCTGTTATCTAGTTTATCTATCATTTTACTAATCTAGATGAAATGTTTATATATTACTAGTCCATGTGACTTGTATGATGTGCCATTATCTATCTCGTCTACCTACCAATCATCTATCTTTTTTCTTTCTTTCTTCTTTCTTTCTTCTCTATTTATTATCTAGTATTATATCTAGTATTTAGTATCTAGATTGCTAGCTAGCTACAATCTCTCAGAGAATCACTTATCCAGCTACTATAAAGCTACTGTAGAAATCAGTGCCATAATAAAACATTAAAATATATATTTCTTGTCATGTTTCAGTTCTTCCCCAAAATCTTCACTTCCCCTTTGTGGTGGTGAATGCAAGTTTTCTCCCATGTGGTGATCTCATGAAATGTTTATTTCATTTCCATAATCCCTATGCTAACCTGGAAATAACAGAAATATTATTTCTATTTAAATAAGGGGGAACCTAGATTAATTCATTCAGTAGCTAGATGCAGCAGTTTTTGTTTTGTTGATACCATGCCAGAGAGGAAAATTTATAATCATGAATGTTTAGCATTCATGCTAAAGGCTGCATAGCAAAGCACACATTTTTATTGTCACATCATGCATACCCATAACAAGAAGTCTTAAAGTCTGTTACAAATAACCTTTTGTAGACCAATTTCATTAGATGCAAGATGTGTATCTCAGATTTCACAAATACAAGTATAAATCAGCCTTAATGTTCTGGATGGGAATTACTGGAGCTGAAATTCAGAGCCCTTGAGACAATAGTCTGGAGATGTTTGATACACACGAATATAATTATAAACACAATTTAAAGAAGAACAATGGAATAAAATGGCCAATTTTTTTTAAAAAAGTACAGCCTATGATGGCTAAAGCTTAAGTATAACAAAAATAAGACACTAAGTAATTGCTGAAATTTTTTTGGCAGATGTTCAAAGCAGCTATGAAAAAGCAAAATTGGAACATGACATGTTAAAAAAAGCAATTTAAAGTGAACAGTAAATGATAAAATCATTTTTAAAATAACTAAGAGCATATGTTCTATAAACTGGGAGCAACATAAGAAATGCTAGAACAATGATAGCAAACCTTTTGAGCTTGGCATGTCAAAAACTCAGAAAATGCCTAACTAGACTCAGTTGCATGTTCTCCTTAAAGAACAAAAGACAATTATTTGCATAGTAATTAATTTTAAAGAATACAGTCCAACCATGTTTGTGATTCCAGAATCTTGTAGATGCCACTTACCTTTAGCTGGTGTTCTCTTTCTGTTGATAGGCCCATGAAGCTTACTGAGGCAGCTCCAAGTCACATAAGACCTTTATTCTTGAAGTAGTTTCAGAGAATGGTCTTCTGCAGCCTCTGAAAATTATAGGAAAGCATGACCCTTTCTTGTCTAATTTGCGAAGGCTATGGAGGCCACATGAGAGCACACTCTATTCTCATACAACCTCCACAGTGTTCAAAAATTGTGCAAGAACAGGATGTTCCTTTGATAAGTTGTCAGGTGTTGGTGAATCCTGGCATCTTGCTCAAAATGTCATGGTGTCAATGGCTTTCTAGCCATCACTGTGTTTAGAAAGATGGCAGCTGATACTGGAGGCATGTCCAATCTCCTACAGATTTTATCAAGCAGAGAGGTAAGTTTAAACTGGAAGAAGTAATCCCTTAAATAGCCTAACCCTAAACCATGTAGGACTTTAATGATCTGTACAAACCCTTAAAATATCTCTGGCAAGGAAATGGCAATCAGAGCAGATCTTACACTGCAGTCAATAAAGGATTCAGTGCAGTATTATACTGGATCCTGGTAGCAATCTAACCCCTGCATTTTGCAGCATGTGCAATTCCCATACATTTTTCAAAAGTAGTCCATACTAAGCATGTTGCAGTGGTTCTCATGGGACATAACCAGCATATTGAGAATTGTCACAAAATTTGACCAGCTCTGAAAGAACCTGTTAGCATACTGAACATAACTGTGCAAAAGTACTTCTTGTCACAGCTACCCAGTGATAGTTAAATAAATAAGGAATATTCTTTGATTACAATCTTGATCCTTTGGGGCAGAGCAACAGCATTCAAATTACAGTTCAGTCCCTGAGTTCTGCCATCTGTAACCTGTTATTTGATAGCATATTTCTGCAAGTTATTTCAGAAGCTAGGAAATCCTATGGGCAAGATGTGTATGCATGTGTGTTTACAACTACTCAGTGATCATTTTTAAATCAAGCATCAAAAAAAAGCACGAATGTGCAAAAAAATGTACTATAAGATCAAAGTGATTGACTGGGTCATGGAAAGATGGCTAATGTATCATATAAATAGGAAAGCAAGAGTTCACTGACCCAGCTTTTTAATCCTGTAGAAGTTAAATTTATCTTCAAATAGATATGGTCTTGGATTTTAAAGTAACTCCCCCATCAGCCATGTTGGGCAAACAGCTGCCCAGAGAGTTAATTAACTGTTGTCTGAGATTGAGAAAACATCCTAGAGAGGATCAGAGAAACTAAGGAATGTAGTCCTTTTCATCATTCTTCAGGACACTTCTGATGGCCACATGAGGGAGTAGTGGGGAAAATCAGAAAGGATGGGGTGGGGCATTCTTTCTTGTACTTACCAATGGTAGACCCCAATTATGCTGTCTCTGTGAGTTTACTTTTCACTGTAAAATGGAAAGAGAGGGAGAGGAAGAAGGAGAAAGGGAAGGAGAGAGAAAGTCAGTCTATGGAGATTCTCAACCATCCAGGTCATGGTTATCCCAAAGGTGCTTTCCTGAAAATGTTTTGTTTCTCATCCTACTAAAGAAGCGATGAGAATGAGAAGCAAAACATTTACAAGAAAAAACCAAGAGAGTCCAGTTGCCTTTTGAAAAGTACCTTTAGGGGGAGAGAGAGCAAAAGAGAAGTCCTCCAAGAAGTGCCAGCTTACTGTAAAAATGGCTGTCCCACAAAACTGTATCTCCAACCATTGTATATTATCTCCTGCTGACACAAAAGGAGAATCAACTGACTGGGAAAGGAGAAGTCTGGATTGTTCATGTCCTGGCAACAAAGACAACATGTGGTGCCTCTAATCCAGCTGCTTAGCACCCACATGAAGAGCTTTCCTCCAATTCTGACTTTGCATGGATGGTTTTAATGGAGTGTTTTTCAGATTTGACAACTTTAAGATGTGTGGACTTTAACTTCTAACAGGCTAGGGAATTCTGGGAGTTGATGTCCATACATTTCACAATTGCCAAGTTTGAAAAACACTGATTTAACACAAAAAATAGCATATAAGAATTCTTCTTCTGACAGGCTCCTTTTAAGTGGAGAAAGCTACAAGTTCTGCTTGCAATATTAAGGGATATAGTCAATCAGATACAAGTTTATTAAATTGTATGAGAAATAGGCACATTGTGGACTTCCGGTTCCAGATCGCGGCACGATTCTCCGCTGCTGGTAGACCCTTAATCGGGTCGAAAAGCCGCCTTGGAGGGGCGGCTACTGCTGAGGAGGTCCTTGTCATCTGTGGGTGAGTGGCAGCTTCTTCCACGGCCCGAGATTGCTCCTTTGGGCTGACGGTGGAAAGAACGGCCAGTAAAATGGCCGTTCCCTTGCCACTGTAACCAGAAGACAGAAGAACATCTAAGCACAGGAACCACTGTGGCTGAGCTGGGTGAGACTTTTTTTTCTCCCTCTCTTGGTTTTCTTTTTTCTTTTGTGCCTGTAAAAAGCACCTTTGAAATGATTTCCCTACTCTAAGAAAGCGGCATTTATGAGTGTGGGAAAAAGAAGCTTAAATGGACTGAATTAATTTAAAGTGATTTTTTTTCTATTTTTATTTTTTTTCTCTTCAGTTTGGGGTCTTGGAAAAATTTTTAAATATTGAATCTGCTATTGGACTTGAATTCTCCTTTTTTCTGTATTTCCTGATCTTGTTTATGAGATTCCTGGTCTCTGGGAGAAGATTTTACAACGTACTGAGGACACCTTGTGGAAAAAGTTAAAATTGCAACTTTCTCTTTTTTCTTATGGTGAGACTGACCTTGACTTCCAGATTACCATAAAAGAAAAAATACAAAGAAAATTAACAGCTGTACTGGTGGGGGTGGACACTGATTGAATGTTCCTTGAACACAGTCTCTACTAAATGATACAGACTGTTTCTAATTATCTTTGAAATGGAGCAACCCTTGGGTCAACTTGACTATAAACTTATACTGGAAAAACTTTATGAAGCTACTGATGAAATATGTTTGCAAATAAAAGAATTTACTATGGAAATAAAAAACAGAAATTCTGCTTTGAATTTACAAATTGACTTCCAGACTTTATCTGAGCACTCTATAGATCAAAAAACAACAGAAGGGGGATTAACTAAAGGTAAAGAAGATTCCATTCTATTCATATACATGCTGATGAGATCTCTGAGGAACTAAAAAAGACTGCAAATAAATCACTTACAACCCTAAAACCAACAGAAATGGACAGACAAACCCAACGAACTGAGAACTATGGTAGCTTGGATAAACAACTATCATCCACAAAGTTGGACATAATTGAGCCTGCTATTCAACAGTTTCAAATGTGGAGATTTGACTTTTCAAAACGACCAGGGATTACTTACAAAGGAGCTAGGTCTCTAAAAGAGAAAAGAGGACGTCTCTGTTTGATTCAAAGGATACTACAAGGCATAAAAAGTGACTTGTTCATTGATATAGAGGCGTTGTTATGGAAACCTGTTTGGCATAAAAGGAAAGCTAGAATAAGATTTAAAAGTGTGACTTAAGGCTTTATGTAATGGGTTTAAAAGGCTTATTAGATATGGATTGATTTATGGTTTAAGACAGTTAAATAAGATGTTAGATTGAATAAAAATTAATTAAAGGTTTGAACTTAATAATAAGTTGTTTGTCTATGTATTAATATGTTTTGGATATAGTAATTTTGGGAGGAGGTTAAAGAAATTTGATACAGATATTGAGGGATTGATTGTTAGATTATAAAGTATAATAGAAATAGAAAGATATTCTTTTCTTTTTTCTTTTTGTTTTGTTTTTGTTTTTTCTTCTTTTTTCTTTTTTTGTTTCTGATTTGAACTAATATTTTTTTTAATTAGAACTGATAGTCACTTTGTAATGGAAGAAGAATAAGAAAAAAGAAGAAATGATATTAATAAATATTTATTGAATATGTTAAGAAAAAAGGTAATGGGGAGACTCCCAAAGTGTTAATTATGTATTTAGATTAGAAATATGGAATATAGTAATTGAAATAGTTAAGCTTAACACAGGATCTGGATTTGTGGATTTATTTGGATGAAAGGTTATTGAGGATTGTTATGATTGATTTAGTTGTATTGAAATATATCAATTTGAATATAATATGTCATTAGAGGGAAAATAGAGGGGTTTTTTAATGATTTAATCTGAACTTTATGAGTATGACTTTGTTTTGTGGACAATTGATTGCCCTGCCACCACGTTGTTTCTTAAGCACTTGTTTGTAAAATGAAAAAAGCAATAAAACTTGTTTTTTTAAAAAAGAAATAGGCACATTGTGAACAAATTGTCTTTCTTATTCAAGGAAATTGCCTCAAGGTTCCACTTCTCTATGTTTCCTTTGTTTTTGTAGAGTATGTACAGGAAAACTTTCTTAAGGAACATGTGTTTCTTCCACAAATGCTATCAGTCTATTGACATATGCTACATGTCAGAACCAATACTGTACATTGCTAGGGAGTGCAGCCATATCATTATGAAATGGTTGGTGGGTCTTTTAAAACAAGCCAAAACTGCTAACAGGAGGAGTGAAAAACCACTGGAAAAATCTATTATAGCTTCACCAAGACAAAAATGAACTGCTACAGCATTATGTAAAACACATGAAAGATACAGGTAGAACTATTTATCTCAAATGTCCTATTTGTTTGTTGTACAACCCAGCTCTTACCTACAAGGTTTACCAGTATTTCTCAACCTTGACAATTTTAAGGCATGTGGACTTCAACTCCCAGAATTCCACAGCCAGCATTGCTGGGAGTAGGAGTTCACATGCCTTAAAATTGTCAAGGTTGAGAAACACTGGTTTAGACAAAAGTTTGAAAATTCCATATGATGGAAATGCATTTGCATGCAGAAGGAATTTCCCCAGTTTAAGCCTTGGGCATCTGTCATTTAGCTAGGGTAAGTAACCCTTAGTGGTCAAGGAGCTTGTTTAGCAGTGAAAGATGACAGGCTGTCCATTAAAGTGAAGGAGAAAAGAAAGGATCGTGTCCCATCTTTTATTGTGTCATATTGTCAATGGGGGGAACTGTAAAGAAAAGCGGGCTTTGACAATTCAGCTTGCCTTGCTCTCCTCCATCTCCCCAATCTATTAAAACATAGAGGCCTGTCAGGGTTATTAAAAGACCTTGTCACTCTTCTTTAAAGCAATCATAAATACCTACTGGGTACTGACTGGATTTAGCAGAGGGAGGGAGTGGGGCTGCAGGTGCCTTGGCCAATCTCTGCCTGATGACAGAAACTTGTATTGATGCCCAGTTGGCAGGTTTGAACAGTGGTTTGGTGCTTCTGTCTTCTTCTCTGAGGGCTAGGTTGGACTGCCATGAAGTATGCTAAAAGTGTATAGTAATTAGTCTTTAATGAGACTGTATACTATGCATGTAAGTGCTTTACTTGTCTTTAAAAAATTTTCAGGGTAGATAAGATGCAAAATTCAAGAGATCAACAGCGCTCTAATTCACTGTGAGCAGGACTATGATGTAGTTATAAATGAAGTATTTCTGAGTAT